CAAAACTACTTTGAGATTTCATCTTATACCAGACAGAATGGCAAGATCAATAAAAAAAAAAGACAGCTCATGCTGGTGAGAATGTGGAGTAAGGAGAATGAACACTCATCCATTGCTGGTGTGGGTGAAAACGTATACAGCCACTATGAAAATTAGTGTGATGGTTCCTCAGGAAGTTGGGGATAGATCTATCCCAAGACCCAGCTATACCACTCTTGGATGTATACCCAAAGTATGCTTCATCTTACTGGAGAGGCATTTGCTCAACCATGTTCATTGTTGCTGTATTAATAATAGCCAGAATTTGGAAAGAGCCTGGATGGAATATTACTCAGCTGTTAAAGAAATGCAGATAAATGAATAGATAGAAAACAATCATCCTGAGTGAGGTTAACCCCCCAATACAATACAGTGTATATTTGCTTATATATAGATGATAGCTGTTAAATCTTCAATATGGCTTTACTCCACATAACCACAGAGGCTAGGTATTGAGTGAGGGACTAGGGGGTGGGATGCATCTCCCTAGGAAGGGGAAATAGAATAGATAATTGTGGACTGGAGGGATACTGGAATGGGAAGATCAAATGGGAAAGGGGAGGGGAGAGAAGGGGAGGGAAGGAATAGAGGGACACACAATTAAAACCAAGGGCCTTAAAATATATACATATGAAGGTGAGCTAAATGGAGTCACCAAACATTGGAGAAGATGGAGCCCCAACTGGATATCTTTTGTCACCATAAGCTTCTAATACAGGGAAGGGATTATATCTAATCAAGTTGTTGGCCAAAGTGGCACTATGGGAACCCCAAACAACCCAGGACATTGGTTTCTTTCCACAAACTGGTGGTAAGGCCCTATTACTGAAGATAACATGCACACAACTCATTCAGCATGGAGAAGTCCAGTGGGTGCCTATCTAGAGCCTTCACCTCTAGTGACTAGTGTTCAGGGTACTGGAAGGTACTCTGCATGTTACCAAAGGAGAAAGGTAAACACCAACCCAGCTACAAACCCTTTGATCTACAACAGTGACCTGCATGCAAGATGTTCTAATGTAATAGTGACACAAAGCTTTTGGGACTAATCAATATCTGATAAATTTAAGGCCCACTCTATGAGATAGAACCCATCCCTGACACTGTCTGAGACTAGACAGGCCAGGGACCTAGGGGCAAACCAAATACTGCTTTTCTACTGAAGGAATGTAGCTACGGAATGACTCCTAACAACATTCTGCTATATCCTTAGAGCAGTGTCTTGCTCAGCCATCACCAGAGAAGCTTCCTCCTGCCGTAGATGGGAATAAATAGTCACAGCTGGACAAGGTGCAGAGAGTGAGAGACCTTGGAACTCTCTATCCTAAATAGAGTGTCTGTATCAATTCTCTCCCTTCATGGCTCAGGGAACCCCGTGGAACAGGAGATAGAAAGAGTATAAGGGCCAGAGAGGAAGGGGAAAAATCAAGGAATCAAGGCAATTTCTAAGCACAACAGGGCTGATGCACACATGAACTCACAGAGAGTGTGGTAATACGCACAGGGCCTGCACGGATCTGTGCCAGATGGGGCCCTAGAGCTGAAAGGAGAAGGGGACACAAGTCTACATCCCTAGCCCAGAAGGCATCTCTAATTGCTAACCACTCACAAATGAGAAATTAGTTTTCTCCAATGAAGTCTCACTGGGTATACAAACCACCCTTAAGCCTTATGCCCAAGAGCAGATGGCCAACACAAAATGAACTCAATGATATTCTTGGGTTTCTTTTGTTGTTTTTTGTTTGTTTTGTCTCATAATGCTTTAACTGGACATTTCCCACCCCATGCCCCTTTTCTTACCCTTACAGGTCTTTTGCTTGTATTTTATAATCTCAATTTTGTGTTTGACAGGATTTCCGTCTGTGTGTGCCATGCCAATGTGTGTGTCTCTGCATCTACATGTGTTTTTTGTGCTTTTTCTTTGGCTCTTTGTTTTCCTGTTTCTTTGTTTTGCCTTATTCAGGTTTGTTTGTTTTGTTTTAGCTTATTATTTTATTATTTTTTCCTCTGTCTTTCGTTTGTTTGTTTTTGTTTTTTGGTTTTTTGAGACAGGGTTTCTCTGTGTAGCTTTGGAGCCTGTCCTGGAACTCACTCTGTAGATCAGGCTGGCCTCGAACTCACAGAGATCCGCCTGCCTCTGCCTCCTGAGTGCTGGGATTAAAGGTGTGCTCCACCACCGCCCGGTCTCTTTCTTTTTTTTAAGATGCCTATTTTTCTAATGAGAGAGACAGCAGGAAAGGAGGTGGATTTGGGTGAGTGGGGAGGTGAGAAGGCTCTAGGAAGAACTGGGGCCGGGCGGTGGTGGCGCACGCCTTTAATCCCAGCACTCAGGAGGCAGAGGCAGGCGGATCTCTGAGTTTGAGGCCAGCCTGGGCTACCGAGTGAGTTCCAGGAAAGGTGCAAAGCTACACAGAGAAACCCTGTCTCAGAATAAATAAATAAATAAATAAATAAATAAATAAATAAATAAATAAATAAATAAATAAATAAATAAATAATAAAAAGGAAGAACTGGGTGAGGGGCAACCATAATTAGAATAGGTCCTATGAAAACACTATTTTCAATTAAAAGACACTCCCATGGATACAGGAGTTTCAAATACAGACAGCAGCAGTGTGAAATGAGCTCTCTGAAGAGCTACCCCTTGATAAAGAGCTGCCCAACAGCCGTGGCCTGAGTAGACGGTCACAATTTTATAGGTCAAAGCTAAATTTATCTTGGGGTATATTTAGTTCCTTTTAGTAGCCATTTGATAGCCGTTCTTTGCTTCAGACCTAACATTTTTTATGACTCTTAAATAGCACTGTTAGAATGTGTCTCCAAATGATTAGCCTTCACTAAGCCTAAAAGGAAACATGTAAATCCTATCCATCCCCTGCCTTGCCTCAGCCTGTCTACCTGACAAGCGCCCTGTGCAGCTAGGAATAGAATTTGTCCATGATGTTTATTTTTTGCCTAACATACATAGGTCCCTGGGTTTGATTCCTAACACAAAATAAAAAGAAAATTTGTGTAACTTTCCCATGGTGAAACATTTCATTAGGTGTAACTTGCCCACTTTCCTGGGTCCTTGTCATTCATACTTGATGCAAAATGAAGTCTCTTATTTCCTTAAAATAGTTGTTTTAGGTCAACATTAGTAACTCATGGATGCGGGGTCTGGAGAGATGGCTCAGCAGTTAAGAGTTACTGGCTACTCTTTCAGAGGAAGTCAGTTTGATGCCCAGCACACACATGGCAGCTCACAACTATCTGTAACTCCAATTCCAGGGGATCCAACACCCTCACACAGACACGTATGCAGGTAAAACACCAATGTACATAAAATTAAGAAATTTTTAAGAAGATGTTTAAAAAATCACTCATGGATTTCTATGTGAATAGGACAGTATATATGCTTTCATTGATAACCACGAGTCACTCTCAGTACAAGTAAATGCTCAGAAATGGTATGAGTGCAGGCAGATTTGCTAGGAGAAAAAAAAAATGATCTGACCATGCAGAGAAAACCTGGTCCTCCCTTATCAGCAATCACTCAGGGTTGATAGCTTAAGGAGTACCTCTAGTACAGTTATCCTTTGATGATGCCCAAAGATTGTACATCTGGAACTTAGTCCTTTACACTAATATTCTCAGCTGTGAGTAACTTTTGGCTCAGTGAGGCGTTGGGTAATGGCTATTGGAGTATTCAGTTATCACAACTAGGAGAAAGAAAGTATTGACTCTGTGTGGGTGAGAGCTAGAGAATTGTTTTAGCATCCTACAGCACACAGAATAGTCTACCACACACAAGTAGATACTTAGCCTAAATATCAATAGTACTGAACTTGAGAAAACTTTAACCCTAAGCTCTTGGGACAATATATTTAAGTCTAGTTGTCATTTATTGGGTGAAAATAAATTCTGAGGGTCTTCTGAAAGCTGGTTTTCAGAGACCAGTAGGTAGAGAAGAATTAGTGGTATGACAACACCTTCAGAAATGGCAAAGGTAGCTTGCAGACAAATGAGAGGAGAGGGACAAATGCAGAGTTTTACAAATTTACAACGAACGCTGGAGGATAATAAGCTTTTTGGAAATGAGAAGCTACTTATTGAAGTTATTCAGGACGTATTTGACATAGGCAAGTGGATCTCTGTGAGTCTGAGGCCAGCCTGGTCTACATAGCCAGAACAACCAGGGTACATAGAGAGACACTGTCTCAAGTAGGGGGTTAGGTAGTGATGGTTTAGGGCGGACATGGTGGCAAACACCTTTCATCTCAGAATTTGGGTGGCTATGGCAGAAGGCTCCCAGATCAGTCAGGTCTATATTACACGTTCGAGGATATTCCTGGCAACCACTAACCAAGTGGAGGCTGCTATTAGGATAAGAAGTTCAACTAGAGCACAGATGCTTAAATGAGAGGAAGCTAATCTCCAATCCCCGGGATACAAATGACTTTCGTGTGGAGACAGAAGTTATTTCCTGAAATAAAAAGTTAACTTTTTGTGTGCCTTCTATGCAAAAGCTCCGCGATGCACTGAGGAATCATTGAGGAATGGCGCTTGTCCCTGAAACCAAATCGGTCCCGTGCCCATGAGGAGGGCTTGAGCCACCGCTTCAGTCACAGTCACACCCATCAGGCTAGGGTAGAATGCATCTGAAATCAGCCAAAGAGCCAGAAACCGTAGCCAGGTTCCCCACTACTTCCGGGAAACTCAGCCCAAGCCGCTCGGGTGCACTACGGTGGCCAATAAGGCCCCAAGAAGTGACAGAAAGTCAGATGAGCAAGAGAGCGCTTGCGCGCTTCACTTCATAGTCTAGACTTTAGTAATCGGATTTCCTAGAAAGGCTCGTCGCTCCTCCAACTTGTTCTATTGGCTGAGAAAAGGGAGGGCCCGCCTCTCTGCGTAGCCCATTGGCCGCGGGTCCACCGTAGCTGGGCGGGGCCTGGCGCTCCATTGCATCAGCTGGTTCCGGATAGTCCACGTGGCGCACGCGCAGTGCAGAATTGCCGGTCCTCTCGGCGGGCTTAGGGTCTTCTCTCCCGTGGCGCTCTCGGGTTTTGTCTCTCAGCCGTCCTTCCATGTCGGAGGAGAAGGCCAGCAGCCCTTCGGGGAAGATGGACGGCGAGAAGCCGGTGAGCAGGCGCGGCGGCTGGACGTGTCCTGGGAGCCGACGTTGCTCGGCGGGAGCAGAAAGTAGCGGGGACCTGGCGGTAGTGGGGAGCCCGGATAGTACAGGAGCCCCCGCAGGCAGGAGTGGTCCGCGGTTCAGACCCATCCCAGAGATCTGTGACCTGAGACGGAGTGGCTTGCTCAGAGCTAGATAATAACCATGAGGGACTTGGACTCTTAACACTTGTATTTGTATCCCTAAAACAGACGGGAAGAACATTGCAGAACTTTTTAGATCCTAAACCTTGGCAGAGCAAAGAGCTCTGGTTTAGGAAGGAAAAGCCCGTCCCAGAGATCAGATCCAGTGTGCCCAAGATTGGGTGCTTTACGATAAGTAAATGGTGAAGGCTAGATGGCTCCATTTGACAGACTGCTTGGGAATTAGGCGGGGTGCTGGAAACGTCCTAGATAACTTCACACACGCCCCCCCTTAAAGCCAACCAACGTTCTGTGTATTTATTTGTCCTGGCACTTAGCCGGACAGCGTAGGTGGCAGTACGAGTAAGATTGATTCCTGACTTGGGGGTGGGGGGCAAGAGCCTAGAGTACAAGACTGGAAAATCGAAATTCTGTGTGATCAGCTCAGTAGAGTTGTAAGAGGAAGCATCGAACTTGGCACAGTCAGACTGTTTTATTAGATGTGGAAAAATGAGGTCAGGTAAAGCAGGCAGGGCAGGGCTGTCCAGGTACAGAGGATGAATTGTGCCTCAGCTGTATTGGAAGAGGCAGGAGAGAAACAGGAAAGATAGAAGTGTTCTCTGCATGCAGGGTTTTAAGCGGATATTGTACTGTCGAAACTCACCTGGCATTGAAGTTTAAGGACAGGTGAGGCCGTATGGCAGAGGCTGCTGTTCCAATAGTCCAGGCGAGCATCGAGCATCGAGCATCGCTAAGGTCTTCAGCAAGAGGCGTTTCCATCCCGATAGGACAGATCACTCAAATGCTTATGTATACATTCTAAACGACAAATTTAAGGTGATGAGTGACGACTGCACATAGATTTTGTTTCTGTTTCCATATTGTTTCCTTTAAAAAAAAAATGATGTTTTACCATTTACAACTTGGTTACCCCTTCGGTTTCTTCCGGACTGTCCTTTAATCCTACTTTTAAACTCACCCCTGTTACTTCAGAGCCTCCCTGGGTTCTTAAGATTTACATAAGTCTAGAAGTTAGCCAAGATAATCACCCCTGGAACAGGCTTGTAATAAAACATTAGATAGAGATTTTGTGAATAAAGTGAGTTGAAATGTAAAATGTGATATTATTGCCTCCGTAATAATCAGGTACCTTAAATTTTTGAAAGCTTTCTTGGTGGGATACAGATCTAACCCAAACGTTTTCTTGTCACTGAGCTACATCCCCAGCCCCACAGGCCAAAACCTTTTATTCCTTTCACATTTAGTCTTCGTAACAAGACTGTTGTGAAGAACATAATTACACCCAGTTCTCAAGAGGGAAAACTGACCCTAGAAGAGCTGAAGTGGTAAGTGTGTGATCACACAGTCCACTTAGTCTCTCTGGATATAACTAGCTGGTTGGATAGGTAGGTAGGAAGATAATACCCCCCACCCCCCAATAACTTATTGGATAAGTTGCATAATTTCTTGTTGCTTTGTATTTAGTAGAGGTCCAAGTCGGAAGGGAAAGTTAGAGAAACTTTGAGGAAGTGTACGTTAATAAATGACCTACCTTTTCAGGGCTTGTTTTTATTGTAAGTTGTCTAACTTGTCTTTACCAGTGATGGAATTTCCAATCTTTCAAAATAAGATTGTCCTTTTTAAATTTTTTTTTTTTTTTTAGATGCTAGCTTTCTCAGCTGCAGTTTTGGGGACGATGTCCACTCAGGCTGAACTGTGATCACTTCTCTTCTTCTGTTTTGCTTCTTTAGGTGGATGCCAGTGAGGAGAAGCGAAAGGAAGGAGGCAAGAAGAAGAGCAAAGATGGAGGTGGAGATGGAGGTCGAGCGGAGGTAAGACAGGCTACCGCCATAGAGGCTTGGGTTTCGAAGGCTGGCGGGGAACGGGGGACTGTCCCAGACTTGCCCTACCTAAGGAGTGTGTGTGCGAATGCATGTGTATCCATAGCGTGTCACACATGTGGAAGCCAGAGGACGGCTTGCAGGTATTCCTTCTCCACTGGGGATGGAGCTCAGGGATTAGGCTTGCTGGCCCCTGTGTAAGGATTCTGATGGTCACTGAAGGCGGTAAGTTAGGACTAGGGTGAGGAGAACTTAAGGAGAAGAGGTTAGAAAAGAGCCCTAGAGGGACAAAGGATTTGCAGGTACTTGACAGTGCAAAGGGACACGTGTATTATTGTCAGATGACCTCACAGTGGATTTGTACAGAAACACGAGAGATGAAAAGTGTAGAGGAAGGGCTGCAGTTGTCACTGGCTGCCAAGACTGGATGCTGACTTTCTGTTTAAGTGAGGTGTTAAGGGGTCGGGGCTCAGTGTTGGGCTCCTACAAGTACATAAAGACCCAAACAGAATCCAGTCCCTTGATTCCTTGCTTATTGCTTGGATCTGTTCCTGGGGTCTGGTTTATTTATATCCAGAAAACTCTTCAGTTCCTGGGCTCAGTGACACAGAACTGGCAGTTCAGAGCCATCCCAGAATGCACTTGGTTCCTGGTACTTGAGGAGGCGGTTCCGCATGTTGTTCTGCTGGTTTTGAGTTTGAACTGCTGTAAACTGTGCTTTGCTTTTTGCATTTAGTCATTGCAGTTTTATTGGGGACCTTGGGAAGCTGCTGGGATGTAGGAGCACAAAAGACTAAGCTTTTTTAAAGTAACTCAATAAATGGACTTTAAAGAGCAGGTTATATAGCTGGAGTACTGATTGATGTAGTCCCTTCATTAGTCCTGGCGTTTCGGAGCTAGAGGAAGAGAATGCTGAGTTCGAGATCAACCTAGGATGCATTGTGAGACCCTGTCTTAGAAAAACAAAACACACACCCTGTTTGTATGATACTGACTTGCGAAGCTTAGAACCATTTTGGTTTACAAAGTGGCTTTACAGGTGATACAGGATGGTGTTGCCTGTGTTCAGCCAATCCCTGTTCATTTTGCACCAGTGTCATTGTGTAAAATTGTTGATAGTGAGTCTTAAGATTTGCAAGTAAAGAGTAATATGCATGTATCTTAATTTCCTTGTTATACTTGGGCTGGGATTGTGTGTATTCTCCCATTACAGATTGAAACATGGCCTGTTAATAGGAAACAGGCAGTCCAGTGACTCTTCTGAGAGTTTTATGTGGATATGTGATTATTATGTGTTTTAAATTATCTTTCAAAATAAAGAGTGGACAGTGATGTGTCCAAGACCTTGCCTTCTCTGTGCTCCCATCACTTGCAAACTCGTCATGGTGACCTTCTAGAGACATATGCAGGTTTTACCCATCTGCATTTCCAGAGTCTGGCATGGAGCACATTACTCACTTAATAAATATTGAGAAAGTTTAAGTTATTTTGTTTATAAAATGCCTAATAGATATGGAAATAGACTGTAATAAGACATGGAGGGTTGGTGGGAAAAGATCATCAGGCACATATTGGATAGGCTGAGGTTGGGGTTGTCTTTGTACAGTGATGGACTATGACCATTGTTAGTTCAGTGGTTCTTTATTAGTAGTTGTGGAGTCCTGTGATAATCTGGTGAAATTGTAGGCGTGTGTCATCAGGCCTGGTAATAGCTGACAATTTCTGTATATGTACACAAGTAGAAAGTCATAGTAAAAGCAAGCCACTTCTTTATTGCTGTTAATGACCATGCTGCTACCAGAGCACTGTTGTGGAATACTATTTTAAGATGTGTTACATTTGTTTATGTTCTGGAACATTTGTTTAATGATGCGAAGATGTGTTGCATTCTTTTATGTTGCATTTGTTTAACTCTGTGTTGCATTTGTTTAACTCTGTGAAGCTGTGTTACTGTGCCTGTCTAAAATACCTGATTGGTCTAATAAAGAGCTGAACAACCAATAGCAAGGCAGGAAAAAGGATAGGCGGGGCTGGCAGGCAGAGAGAAATAGAAGGAGAAATCTGGGACCAAGGAAAAATGAGTGAGAGAGAAGGAGCGAGAAAAGAAGGGGCTAGCCACCCAGCCACACAGCCACACAGCCACACAGCCACACAGCCACACAGCCAGCCACAGAATAAGAGTGAAAGTAAGATTTACAGAAGTAAGAGAAAGGTAAAAAAGCCCAGAGGCAAAAGGTAGATGGAACAATTTAAGTTAAGAAAAGCTGGTAAGAAACAAGCCAAGCTAAGGCTGGGCATTTATAATTAAGATTAAGCCTCTGTGTGTGATTTAATTGGGAGCTGGGTGGCAGACCCCAAAGAGCTAAGAGTAAAAAAACAATCATCAACAGAGCACAGTGCTTTGAACCTGTAATCCCAACCTTGGGAGGCTGAGGCAGGAGGATCATGAGTTCAAGGCTGGAGTAGGCTCCATAGTGAATTTGAGCTCTCCAAGGAGGTGGTGGGGGTGGGAGATGCTGTCATTTGGAGATGGAATTATCAGATTCATTACTTGCTTGAGAAATAGAAGTCAGATTCTTTTATACACACACACACACACACACACACACACACACACACACACACACACACACACACATATAAATTTGTAACCTTTTTTTGTAGCTGGAAGATTTCTTGTGCCCTGGCCTGCCAGCAGTAGGGACAAATCGCTCCCACTCACGTCCCCCAAGTAAACACACAGAGGCTTATATTAATTAAAACTGTTTGACCATTACCTCAGGCTTTCCATTGACTAGCTCTTACACTTAAACTCAGCCCATTTCTGTTAATCTATATGTTGCCACATTTTCTGTGGCTTTACCTGTGTGCCATTACATGCTGCTGTCTGGACGGCGGGCTGATGTCTCCCTCGCTTTCTTCCTGTCTCCCTCTTTGAATTTCCCGCCTGCCTCTAAGCTGCCTTGCCATAGGCTAAATGGCTTTATTTATCAACCATAAGAGCAACACATATCCGCAGCGTACAGAAAGACATTCTCCTATCACTTTTTCTTTGTCAAACTTTTTGGGAACTTCAGTGGTGTTTTATATAAAATATTCTGGCTAATTGTATTGAGTATATAGGCAGTAGTAATGTGTACTATTTTATTTAAATAATCTGAGAAAGATGATCATGGCATCTTTGAATTGGAGGAATATTTTCTTTAGTAGGATCCTCTAAGTCAAATAGTTTTGGTTGGCTATGAGTCGGCCTTAAAGCCAACCAGCTGCACAGAGTGCCCCTGATTAAGCTTCTAACCATATGGTACATTATTGTTTCTCTCCATGCAGTGTTGCTCATAGCTGAATTTATGATCGTTTAGTTAGAACTGATCTTGAGGCTGACCATGCCAGGCATGCAGCTCTTTCAGTAGAGAACTTGTTGAGCATGCGAGAAACCTTGGTTTCACTTCCGAGGAACACACAAGCCAGGCACATATGTTTAATCCTAGCCCTCTCGGTGTTAGGAAGATGGTGAGTTCAAGGTTATCCTTGAGACCCTGTCTCACGAAGCAAAGAAGGAAGACCTTAGGAAGGCATCCTACGACGAAAATAGTTACTGGAACAAACTGTAAATTACAAAATGGTAATTGGTTATCAATTCAAGATGTTGGCAACTCAGCTGCTTATTTTTATGCTTTAAAAAATTTTTGAATAAAAATCACAGTCACCCATTTTCTTCATCTATTCTTACTTAAGACTAGATTAATGTCAGTGATTATTGTGATCTATGAGCCAATAGATTTTTTTTCAAGACAGGGTGTCTCTGTGTAGTTTTGGTGCCTGTCCTGGAACTCACTCTGTAGCCCAGGCTGGCCTCGAACTCACAGAGATTGGCCTGGCTCTGCCTCCTGAGTGCTGGGATTAAAGGCATGTGCCACCACCACCTGGCCACCACTCTGGATTTGTCATCATGGATTTTTGTGTTATATATCATTATATGTTATTATATTATTATTGTTTCCTAAAGCAAGTGTTACTGATTACTTACTACTTCGTTTGTTCCTTTACAGTTGAATCCTTGGCCTGAATATATTAACACACGCCTTGATATGTATAATAAGCTAAAAGCAGAGCATGATTCTATCCTAGCTGAAAAGGCAGCAAAAGATAGCAAGCCAATTAAAGTCACTCTGCCCGATGGCAAACAGATGGATGCAGAGTCCTGGAAAACCACACCGTATCAGATTGCATGTGAAATCAGGTATGCACACACCTCCTTTGACCTTTTATGGTTTAGAATGTAACCAAATGTTCATTTATTGTCTTGCTGGGTATATCCTGATAATATTCTTAGGCTTCTGCTAAAGATGTTTAGTTTACTTAGTTGAGATCTTTGAAAATCAAGTTGATGTGGCTTTATAGTCCAGACTCAGTGTTAATTGCTGAAGGCTCGTACCTTCATTTTCTCTTAATAAGTAGCTTATTAGTCATTCTGTTAGGATCACAGAGCTGCAGAGGCAGGACAGGGTTCACTGACTTTTACTTAAGTGTCTCAGTTTTGAGTTTATTTATGAAGGTAGGTCACCTCACAGGGAAAATTAAAAAAAAACTGACATATTATGTATGAAAAAGTATGTTCTGTGTTTATAAATCCCACAAAGAACTGTATATATTCTTAAAGCTTATTAGATTGGGAGAAATTATAAATAACTGAGTATTTTTCGCATACTTTGTGACAGAGGAAAAGCCATGGCTTGGAGGCACTGTGTTGTATTTTAATGCCTACATCACCTGGATACACTTGAGAAGCAGGTGCTAAACGTGGACGCCTCTTTTTACATCATTGTTTCATTTCCTCCTAAAAACAGTGGTTTTTAATAACTAGCCTTCATCAGATCTTGCCAGATAACCACCTTGTTTCCTTTGGATTTTAAGTCAAGGCCTGGCTGACAACACTGTTATCGCTAAAGTGAACGAAGCGGTCTGGGACCTGGACCGCCCGCTGGAGACAGACTGCACTTTGCAGCTTCTCAAGTTTGAGGATGAGGAGGCACAGGCGGTAAGTTTCTATCTGGTGTTTATTAGAATACAGTAAAGATGACCCTAAGCTGCATAGGCCAAACAAGTTATTTCCTTTCACTGTGTTGTTCTGTGGCTCAGTGGTTTTCAGGTTTAACCTGGAGGTCACAGTCGTTTATGGACGTCTCTCACTATTTATTCCTTTGGGGCCTTGGTTGTAAATTTTGAAAGCATTGCATCTACCAAAAGTAAAGCCATGTTATTTTTTTCTTTACATTTTCAGGTATATTGGCACTCCAGTGCCCACATAATGGGTGAGGCCATGGAAAGAGTCTATGGTGGATGTTTATGTTACGGCCCACCAATAGAAAATGGGTTCTATTATGATATGTACCTCGAAGAAGGGTAAGTTAAGACACTGAATGAAGGGAAAATCTGAGTGGCCCTGAGTCTGTGTGTAACATTTAAAGAATTGTCAATGAAGGAGATGGATCTACAGCTCACAGTATAAAGCTGCTACTTACAGTTATTGACAAAAGTTGAAGTATTGGTAGTTGCATGTAGTGAAATCTCTGGGATTGGTGGAATTGTGCCAGAGGCATGCTGGGAAATCAAACAGGCTCTCCTTTTCCTTTATGTTTTATTTATTTATTTTGGTTTTTTGAGACAGAGTTTCTCTGTGTTAACAGTCCTGGTTGTCCTGGAACTCACTCTGTAGCCCAGGCTGGCCTCGAACTCACAGAGATCCGCCTGCCTCTGCCTCCCACGTGCTGGGATTAAAGACGTGCACCACTACCACCTGGCTTCCTTTACGTTATGATGGAGCTTGGTGGGGTGTCACTTGAGAGAAAGTTCTCCACAATGGCGGAAGTAGAAGCCCATGAAACTATAAGTGTAATTTATGGAAAATCTAATATTAAATTCTAATATATGATGCAAGTCTCTATTTTAAAGTCGTAGAGAAAAAAGTCCCTGCATTGATTCAAATGGAATATGGATAGACTGCTTTTTTTCCTCCTTCAGGGGTGTGTCCAGCAATGATTTCTCTTCCCTGGAAACTTTGTGTAAGAAGATCATTAAAGAGAAACAACCTTTTGAAAGATTGGAAGTGAAAAAGGAAACGTTACTAGAAATGTTTAAGGTAATCTGAGCCACTTTGATTTTATTAGCCAGTCCTTGAAGTAGTGCATCGACATTTTCTCTAGAAAACCTGAAGTCGCTTCAGACATGAAACCCAGGCGTGCTCTAAAGCTTGTGCTTTGACTCACATTCCAGCTGCATGTTTAGAGATAAACACGAGAGGCCGTTGTGATGTCTTATTTCTCATTTTCAGTACAACAAGTTCAAGTGCCGGATACTGAATGAAAAAGTAAACACTCCGACCACGACTGTCTATAGGTGAGCATAGTGAATGCTGTTGAACGCAGCTGGTACAGTAGTCTGCCTTTGCTAAAATTCCTTTTATTTTGTCTTTAGATGTGGCCCTTTGATAGACCTCTGCCGCGGTCCTCATGTCAGACACACTGGCAAGATTAAGACTTTAAAAATCCACAAGGTAAGGCATGTGAATTGTCTAGAGTACTTACGCCTCAGGTTCCATTGCTTTCTCCTTTCTAACGTTTTGTTTCTTGTCAGTACACAGAGGATCACAGTTTTTGTTTTTAAAGCTGTGTATGTGTCTTCTGTGCTCCAGGACTCATTACCAGAGCTACCATATGGGGACGGGTTGGGAGGAGTCACAGAAGCTGGCAGTCACAGGCCATTGTGGCTTCAAAAGTTTTGAGGCTCGGTGTTGGAGTTTGGCTAATGATTACTCAAGTTGCTCTTTTTCATACGACTAATCCTGTCTGTTTTATACTACCTTAGAAATGCTGGAATTAGGAGCGAGTTCTCTGAATTGATTCCAGGTGCCTTTCCTTGTTTGCTTGGGTTCCTTTCCATTTTCATATGATTTTGTGAGAGGAGTCCTATAGTTCATGGGATTGTGATCTGGGGAAAGAGCCCTGAGAAAAGCACGCAGAAAATTCTGTGCTGTGGAGTGAGTCTACCCACTTGGAGTAGACCTCAAAACAATGGGAGACATTTACTAGGACTGAGTGTTGTATGTAGTTTCCTTGTCAAAGAAGGTGATTGTGAGAAATAATACACTATTAATGTGAAATGTTTACAAATTTAAATGGGTCGTTGTTGGTCCTTGCTTTTAGAATTCCTCCACATACTGGGAAGGCAAGGCAGACATGGAAACCCTCCAGAGGATTTACGGCATTTCATTCCCCGACCCCAAACTGCTGAAAGAGTGGGAGAAGTTCCAAGAGGAAGCCAAAAACCGAGATCATAGGAAAATTGGGAGGGTACGTTAAGGAACAGTGGTGTGTCTTGTTTGAGTTTTCCTCCAGTTCACGTGAGTTGAGCCTGTTCAGTGCGAAGTTTCGTTTTGAAGAGGGGCTTAGATTTCAGGTTCCCTGGTCTGGGAGCCAGTCATGTCCACATTATCCTGAAACATTCCGAGTCCATCTCAGTCACCGTTCCCGAGAACAGTGCCGGTGACCCACAGCCTCGTGTGAGCTCCGTGTCAGAGCTGACAGAACGGACTTTGGAAATCCCTCTCATTGCCTCCTCGTGACTCTCTAAAGTCTCAGTCTGAGCTATCAGTCTTCCGTTTCTCCAGCGGAGATAGCAGGTCCCCGGTGGAGTCTGTGCTGTCTCTTTCTTTTCTCTCTAGCTGCCTCTGACTTCCTCTAGCCGGAGTTACTTTTGATTTTTTTTAAACTTTCTTCCTCTATAAAATGAAGTTTGCTGCTGGAGGGCCTTGGCTGCTACATCTGCCCTACCTACCGCTCTGACTGCTAGAAATAAATTACCGCAATGAGGAAGGTAACAGGGATTGGCAGGTCCCTCCCCAAGGGCTTGTAGCCACGCCCCTGTCTTTCATTATCAGGGTGTTTTTCTTTTCTCCTTCTTGACGTTCATGTACAAGCAAATTGTAAAACAGCAAATGACAAAACCCAGATCTTTCCAGGGGACTTCTTCCCATGCCACTGTTTCCTCACCCTGGCTGGACTGTACCACTAAATCGTACCCAAGAAACAGTAGCATGTTTTCTGTAATGTTGGCACAGTTGAAGTTTGGAGCACAGTGGCAGAATTCTGAACTGAGGAACACCAATCATTTACACATTTAGAAACAATCTTTTGCTCTTTTATCCAGGACCAAGAGCTATATTTCTTCCATGAACTCAGCCCTGGAAGTTGCTTTTTCCTGCCCAAAGGAGCCTACATTTATAATACCCTTATGGAGTTTATCAGGGTAAGCTTTATTTGTTACGGTCTTCTAAAGAGTTAGGACATAAGATAATTTTATCAGCGAGGGTCTGCTAAAAGAAAGATAAATCTGTATTGGAGGGGAAAAGAAATACCATTTTTTTCTAAGTTGAAGTTTGCGACTTCAAAGGTGTTTAGTGGTTCAGGGTGACTGCTGCTCTTCTAGAGGGCCCAGGTTCAGTTCCCCAGCACCCACCTCAAGTGCCTCACTCACGCTCCGAAGGATCTGTCGCCCTCTACTGGCCTCTGCAGGCCCCTGCAGGCACATAGCATTCACTCCATAAATACACCTGCATACACACACAAAAAAAATAAGTTTTGAAAAAGTTGGGTCTGGAGAGGTGGCTCAGTGGTTTCGAGTAGTGACTGTTCTACCAGAAGACCTGAGCTTTGATCGCAGCTTCCAGTCATACAGCTCACAATCATGTACAGCTCCAGCTCCGGAAGATCTCCTGCTATCTTCTGGTCCCCGTGGGTACCCACGCTCAGGTGGCACGCATCCACATATGTAGCTAGAGTTTTCCTGCCTGGCCCACAGTCAGGACAAATCTCTGTCACCTGCCAGTCCCACAGCAGCTCAGACCCAACCAAGTAAACACAGAGACTTATATTGGTTACAAACTGTATGGCCGTGGCAGGCTTCTTGCTAACTGTTCTTACAGCTTAAATTAATCCATTTCTATTAATCTATACCTTGCCACGTGGCTCGTGGCTTACCGGCATCTTCACATGCTGTTTCTCATCGTGGCGGCTGGCAGTGTCTCTCTGACTCAGCCTTCCACTTCCCAGCTTTATTCTCCTCCTAGTCCCGCCTATACTTCCTGCCTGGCCACTGGCCAATCAGTGATTTATTTATTGACCAATCAGCAACACACTTGACATACAGAGAACATCCCACAGCACACGTAGACACACAGACTCATGCACATGAGTACAGTTTTTGAAATGTGAAAGGTCTCCTAAAGTATTTAGAGTCATTCTGATGTGTGACTTTGTTCATGAGAGCACGCAGACACGTAGAGAGAGGAGCTGCTGAGCCTGAAGGGTCGGAGGCCTTTCACCCGGGAATGTGCTGTGTCTCTTAACCGTTTGTGTTTTCTTTTCAAATTACAAACTACTTCAAGCCTGTATTTAAAGAGCACAGTTAGGGTTACTTGACACAAGATTTAACGTATTTGCATTGGGCTATGTTTGTCCACAGTTTTTATAAAAAGAAGAAAAGGAGTACATACTGTTTTTTAAGAAAGACCCCTTTGAAACTGTTGTGTGGTTGGTATGGCTCCTTTACCCTGTGCTTTACATCTCCATGTACATGTGTCTTTAACTTATTTTGTGATGTGTGTGCCTCACTTCACATGTATGGTCTTGTTTCTGTGAGTTGGTGCACCACCTGCAGACGGCATTTCTGAGTCGTGGTCTATGTGCCTGTGACTTCACTCAGCAGTGTTAAATTGCTCTGTAATTATTTCTCCCTCCACAAAGGTGAGCGTTGACTTCCCTGTATGTGTGTTCTCCTCTAACAGAGTGAGTACAGGAAAAGAGGATTCCAGGAGGTCGTCACTCCAAACATCTTCAACAGCCGGCTCTGGATGACCTCTGGCCACTGGCAGCACTACAGTGAGAACATGTTCTCCTTTGAGGTGGAGAAGGAGCAGTTCGCCCTGAAGCCCATGAACTGCCCAGGACACTGGTAGCAAGCAGCTTTGTGTTTTTCTTCCTTTTTATTAAACTTACCTGTATGTGTCTGTGTGGAGTATGTGCCACATGTCTGTGGGTTCCTGCAGAGTTCAGATGAGGCTGTTGGAGTTGCTGGAGTTACGTGTTATGAGCTGCCCCATATGGGTGCTGGGCACTGAATCTGGGTCCTCTGGAAGAGTAGCAAGGCTCTTAACCCTCGGACCTTCTCTCCAGCCCTGCAGCTTTGCATTGCTGTTAAAGATTTTCTTGTGCTCTAAATGGTTCTAGATTCCTTTTGCTCCTTTGAGAGAGCTATCAGTGGAGAAAGGAGACTGAGAAGGAGGGGGTCTGAAGGGAACCGGGGGAGCATACGGGTCATAGAGTACCTATGCCAGGAGAGCGGAAAGCCAATAACAACAAGAAACTTAGTGAGCGCAATAAGACTGAAATGCAACATTGTGAGCAGCATCACAGCGCTCTGATTAGATTCCACCTTTATAGACATTCAGGAGTGGTCCTGGGGTGAGAGCTGCAAACAGGCAGAGGATACTGAAAAGGGGCTTAAATGTGGGGCAGAGCAAAAGACCAATATTCCTACCCTTCCTTCCTTCTTTGGGAAGAAATGTGTTTTAGCAGAACCCGTTGCTGATGAGTTAAAATCCTTGGGAAGTCCTTTCCTGTGTCTCTGCCTCAAATTATGAAAGGTAGATGAAAAGTGACTTCTGAGAGGCCTGAGAGTGACGTGGATATAGCTTGTTCATGTGTGCAGCTGCAGAGGCAGGTGATTCAGGCAGAGGTGCTGAGAGGGGAAACCCCTTTAAGAAACTGGGTCGTAGAGATCAGGGGAACAGCCCAGTTCAATTTTCACAGCATTAAGTTTTTGAAGCGCTTTGGGCCTCACTAGAGCAAGGCTGATACCAGTTTCCACTGTTAGAAGTAATTTATGTACAGCTGAAAATATTTCTTCATTATGAGCCTTTCCTTCATCTTCATATTAACTGAATATAGTCTTCATATTAATGGAAGTGCTGAGCACAAGGATTTGGCTTAAAACCTTGGGGATACATTGCTTTATTCGCTCTTAGCCACAGTTAATTGCATTGTAACTTACTTATCATTATATTCATGCAAGTGCTTCCATTGCTGTGTGAAGCTTGGGGCTTGAAAAAGTGTTGCTTGTGGCAAACTAGTGGCTTTTGGTCAGCCTTTAATGTTACTAAGTAATATCTGAGGAAGAGTTTTTTCCTTGTGAATTTTTAGAATTACTCTTTTTGTTGTTACTTGTGATTCACCCGAGGCCTCACAAGTACTGAGCAAGCAAGCGCTCTGCTCCGGCATGGCATCCTTCACCCCTGTGCTGTTAAATTTCCATGGGCTTTGCTTTGCTTTCTCCTTCAGCCTCATGTTCGATCATCGGCCACGGTCCTGGCGAGAGCTGCCTCTGCGGTTGGCCGATTTTGGTGTGCTTCATAGGAATGAGCTCTCGGGGGCTCTTACAGGACTCACGCGGGTCCGAAGATTCCAGCAGGATGATGCACACATTTTTTGTGCCATGGAGCAGGTATAGTGAATGCCCTATGGAGCAAAATCCTCTGACAGAAGTGTTTAAAGGTGTGAAAAATAACCACTTTTTTTTTCTTTCTTAAGATCGAGGATGAAATCAAAGGTTGTTTGGATTTTCTTCGCACAGTATATAATGTCTTTGGATTTTCATTTAAATTGAATCTTTCTACTCGCCCAGAAAAATTCCTTGGAGATGTTGAAATATGGAACCAAGCCGAGAAAGTAAGTGATTTTTTTTTTTTTTTTTTTTTTTTTTTTTTAGTGTTTTCGAGAACTTACACAGTTCTAGGAAGTCTTCTTGAGTGGATCCAGGCAAAGAAAGACGACATTGTTTCTGGTGTGCAAGTGGGCTCATTTTTTTCTGTATGGTCTTAAGTGCTTTCAAGAGGCCTGGATGTTTTCATACTCTCTGTTACTAAGCTGTAGCTTTATGCTCTTAGGTAGACACAGTTACACAGCAAACAGTAGGACTTGAGAAAACACCAAGGAGACTTGCACATCTAAATTATCTGGAAAGGAGGGACGTGGCAGGTGAATAAAATTTCACATCGTTTCTGCTTTGTCTGTAGCAACTTGAAAACAGTTTGAATGAGTTTGGTGAGAAGTGGGAACTGAATCTTGGCGATGGAGCTTTCTATGGTCCAAAGGTCAGTCCCCTAGAATATTCCGGTAATATTCTAGGTTTTTAGAATTTTAGTTGTGGGTAAAGAAACATCCCTTTAAATTGGGAACAAAGAAAATGAAGAGCATCTTATCGTAACTCAGTGTTTGCTTTTCAGATTGACATACAGATAAAAGATGCCATCGGCCGCTACCACCAGTGTGCAACCATCCAGCTGGATTTCCAGTTGCCCATCAGATTTAATCTTACTTACGTAAGGTGAGCTTCTGGTCTCTGCTCTGAGCTTTCGGCCATACCTAGGACAACATATCTAATAAGGTAAAACAACTTCCTCTTTTCTGTAGCCATGATGGCGATGACAAGAAAAGACCCGTGATTGTTCACCGAGCCATCCTGGGGTCTGTGGAAAGAATGATTGCCATCCTTACCGAAAACTACGGGGGCAAATGGTAAGTCCTTCTGCTTGTTCTCCCTTCCCGTGAAATTGTCCAGAAGAAACGTCTCATGCTTGTGAAGGGGGGAAGGAGGAACTTCCTTCTTCAGAGCTCACTGAGAGGAACCAGACTCTAGCCCCAGTTTTCGTATAGTGCTTGTTGGGGCTAGAAGTGTGGTAGTTCAGAGTGGGATCCACGTTACCCCTCAGCACACACATACCCCGAAATACTTGTTATGAATAATTCTTTTGTATTTCAAAACTTGATTTATTTGACTATTACATCAGGAGCTGGAGAGATGGCTCAGCAGTTGAAAGCACTGGCTGGTCTTGCAGAAGCCTCAGTAAAATCCATGCATAATTTGTTTTTGATTGCTTCTGGCTTTGTGATTTTTTTCGCCTGAGTGAATGGATAGGTTTTTGAATTAATCTTGTTCAGTTTTACCGATCAGAATAAGCAAGTATTTTGCCATATTTCAGAAGCGAAGCAGTTTTTTAATTGAAAAAGAAATAAACAAAACAAGCTGAGTTTAGTTGACGGTTCTCAGTGGTTTTATCTAAACCCGAAGTCCAGTTAGAAGGAGCCCAGTGTTAGCAGCATCCATGACAGAGTCTTCCATGTGGACTGTATAGGGTTAAAACTTTTCTAAAGTTATGGGTTACTGTCATTCCAGTAATTAGATCGGGCTGGTTCAGATGTGACCTTTTTTCCTACTTGTCAACGAAATAATCCTGGTCCAGTTCAAGTTCCCACAATCAATAGAACCCTGGTGCGCGTTCTCTTGTGTGCCTAGTTTTTCACCCAAACTCGGGATCCATTGGGAGAATCCCACATCTAATGGGGAATTTATTGCCTTCTCCGGCCGCTGTGGCTTTCAGCTGTGCGGTACAGAACTGGGAGATGAGCACAGTCTTTCCATCTCGAATGTGCCCAAGCCCACACTCACTGTTGTTATTTCTTCCGCAGGCCTTTCTGGCTCTCTCCTCGCCAGGTGATGGTAGTTGCAGTGGGACCAACATGTGATGAATATGCCCAAAAGGTAACCCTTAAACAGGAGTTGGCTCTCAGCTTCAGTTTGTTTTTAAGCTTTTGCAATGGGATCTTACTGTGTAGTCCACGATGGCCTTGGACTCGGCTTCCTGTCTTAAAGTCCCTTGAGTAGCTGGGATTGCCAGCGAGTACCACCACACCCACCCTGGTAACTGTGCTTTTAAGCTTTTGGATTGTTAAGCCATATAAGCTTATCAAATCAAGCTCTCACTACATCAAAGAGTGTAACTTTTCTATGTCTGATAGGCCTGAACGTTACACTTTCAAGATTTTTCTTAATGGTTCTGTGACCACATGTATTCGCTTAGTGTTTCAGACATACTTATGTGTTTTAATGTTTGGTGTTGTGAAGAAATGAATTAGCAAATATAGCCTAACCTGTATCATTACATTAGAGTTATGTATCCCATTGAAGTGCCTGATATTTGCTGGTTTATTCATTTGTTAATGCAGATTTCTTCAGTGGCTTGAAATTCTTTTCATCTTATTATCATGGCTGGTCAGTGTCTTGCCCCTCTAGCAAATGTGTAAACAGTCCTGGGAGCTTTGCACCTCAAAGGACAATCTGTTCTCCTTTAGTGATTGATTGCCCCATACTAAAGACTTAGACATGCTTAGCAGTCAGTGAGTGAAGAAGCCCAGGTGTGGTTGGTGATCAACCTGCAGCCCAGTAGTTGGGCGGGTGAAGCAGGAGGAGAGCAGCGTTTGAGGCCAGCCTGGACTATAGAATGAGACTCTGTCTCAGAAATGCTGCTTTCCTTGTATTGTAGGTAGTGATGTTGTGTGCAGGCTGATACATGGCTGTTTTCCTTGTATTGTAGGTGGTGATGTTGTGTGCAGGCTGATACACAGCTGTTTTCCTTGTATTGTACGTGGTGATGTTGTGTGCAGGCTGATACACGGCTGTTTTCCTTGTATTGTACGTGGTGATGTTGTGTGCAGGCTGATACACAGCTGTTTTCCTTCTATTGTACGTGGTGATGTTGTGTGCATGCTGATACACAGCTGTTTTCCTTGTATTGTAGGTGGTGATGTTGTGTGCAGGCTGATACACGGCTGTTTTCCTTGTATTGTAGGTGGTGATGTTGTGTGCAGGCTGATACACGGCTGTTTTCCTTGTATTGTAGGTAGTGATGTTGTGTGCAGGCTGATACACAGCTGTTTTCCTTGTATTGTAGGTGGTGATGTTGTGTGCAGGCTGATACACGGCTGCTTTCCTTGTATTGTACGTGGTGATGTTGTGTGCAGGCTGATACACGGCTGCTTTCCTTGCAGTCATATCAGGAACTTGATGTGATCATAAGTGGGATCTTTATGTTTTATTTCCTTAAAAAGCTGATTAATTTGATTTTTCTGAGTGCTGATTTTTGTGGATTTTCTAAAATACTTATCTTACAAGAGACAAATGTCCCTTTTTGTTCAAGTGCTGGGAATCAAGCTCTTGCATGTTGAGCACTACGACTATGTTACATCCACAGCTCCAAAAGTGTGGTCATTCACTTTCAAAATGTAAACCCAAGTCATAATTTTGTGTTATCAGCTTCAGTATTTATATTGAAATTCATTTTTAATGCTTGCATAATTAAATTCATGAAACTTGTTAAATTCTGTAACAAAATAAATGTTCTTCTCATTTTGACTCTGAATTGTTACTAGGTACGGCAACAATTCCATGATGCTAAATTCATGGTGGATATTGACCTGGATCCAGGCTGCACCTTGAATAAGAAGATCAGAAATGCACAGTTAGCACAGTATAACTTCATCCTGGGTAAGAAGTGAAGGTTCCCAATCGTATGGGAAAAGCCACTGAAATCTTAAGACTTAAGCTCCATGAATCTTGGTTATGAATGACCTTGGGTCCTGTCATGGTTACTGTTTTATTACTGTGATGAGACACCATGACTAGGGCAACTTAGAAAAGAAAGCATTAAATTAGGGGGCTTGCTTATAGTTTCAGAGGGTAAGTCCATGATCATCATGGCAGAGAACAGCAGTCAGGCAGGCAGGATGCAAGAGCAGTAGCTGAGAGCTTGTATCTGACCCACAAGTCCAGGGTAGAGTAGAGAGACTGGAGTGGGCTTTTGAAAGCTCAAAGCCAACTCCTAGTGACACACCTCCAACAAGGTCGCACCTTCTAATCCTTCCCAAACAGTTCCACTAACTAAGGACTGAGCATTCAAACAAATGAGCCTATGGGGACCGTTCTCATTCATACCACACAGTTCCCTCTCTTGTTTTTATTTTTTTGTGGTCCTGGGAATTGGACCCAGTGATTGCATGGGCTAGGCTTCTATAAGCATGATTCCAAATACTCAGTGTTCTCTTTGTATAACAAGACAGTAGGCATGAAAAAACTGCTAAAGAGTTGTTTACAAAATGTCTACCTTTGTGGAATTGCTTTTATATCATTTCTTATTAATCACTGGATTAAGTGATTCAGGATGAAAGTTTTAGGTACTTAAAGGGGGTCCTTTTTAAAAATAGCTGCAACATTTCATAAGCCTGTGTATACATGGTCACCTGTCCATCTCAGTGTATCATGAGTTACAGGAAAGTTTAGGATCCTTTAGGATGAGTTCTGCTGTTCAGGACAAATCCTTCCAGGTCTACCAGTTTAAGTCTCACAGAGCTATGTGTCTTATGTTTTAGTTGTTGGTGAAAAAGAGAAAGCCAGTGGTACTGTGAACATCCGCACCAGAGACAACAAGGTCCACGGGGAGCGAACCGTCGAGGAAACCGTGGAGCGGTTGCGGCAGCTCAAGCAGACCCGGAGCAAGCAGGCAGAGGAGGAGTTTTGACGGGAGCATGGCCAGCACTGGCTCGGCCTGGAGGAAGACCGGTGCTCCTTCACATGGCCTTGTCTGCTGGGAAACGTGGGTTTATGATGAACGTGGAGTAGTTCTGCAGTCTGCATGAATCAGTTTTTGATCTGGACAAGCCTTAGAGAATGTGTTAGATGGGGGTTAATAAAAGAACCATTAAAATTATTTTATTCACTAAATGTCTCAGCAATGGAAAAACGGGATGTTTAAATGTATCAGGGTTATTTTATATGAATTCAATCAATTAAAAAATAAAAATTTTAAAAAAGTGCTTAAAGAAAAACCAGGACTGAATCATGGTGTTAAAAATTAAAATTTACAGATGTCAAGACCTCTGTCCTTGTGTTTCTGTAGTGTTTCTGTAGAAGCACCTGGCTCAGATTGTGTGCCTCGGTGTCCAGCAGGAAGGGTGGAAATGGATGTGCAGGTGTGTGGGAGGGCAGGTCATGGCATGAGCTGATTCCCAACTGGGATGGAGCCTGCTGCTGGCTTGTTAGTGGTAAGGTAAACATTTCTTTTTGAGATGACACTTTTATTTCTTTTTGGGTAGAGAGCTTTGAAATAACACAACAATGCACGAACTCTTAAGGATGTGTCTTCAAAGATAGAGCTGTGTATGGAAGACTGTTTTTTGTTAAGTGGGTTTTCTACTATGATGAATACTTTTCAGATTTTTCTATCAGCAAACCGTTTATGGAGAATGACATAAGAAAGGAATTTCTTATGTGGTTATATATTATTTCCCTTTTATAGTCATTTTCAGAAATCAACATCTTGTCAAGTCTATAGTAACCCAACAATTTTGTTGGCAATGATTACATCAAAGAGAAGCTATTGTACATAGATTAATCCTCTAATAAAGGAAGTGATGTTTTCCTGGTTTTGTTTTTTAAACTTCAAATGCCACGCTCCCGAGGCCCTTAAGAGTTAGGCTTTGGTAGGCTTGTAATTAATTTATCTGTATCTTGATGAGACTTTAAAACAGATTTTGTATTCTGTGATGTCATCATTGTCTAATTCATTTTCTGCTTTGTGTTTGTTCAATCTAACTATTAAAGTTGATGTGCAGAACTGAGGGTGACGTCAGCCTGCAGCAGGCTAGCCGCGTGCTCTTCCGCCGAGCCACACCTGCAGAGTACAGTGTGTTGTAAATGCCTGCTGGGCAAATAGTTTTACTAATTCTAGTTTCTATGAATCTTTTAATGCATTTGCTGGTTCACTTTCATGTGTGACTTTGAATTACAAGTCTGGTATGTCAAGACTGCATTTTTTTCTTCTTTTTTTTAAAGATTTTATTATTTATGTATGAGTACATGTATCTGCATGTACAACTTTATACCATCATTACAGATGGTTGTGAGCCACCATATGGTTGCTGGGAGTTGAACTCGGGACCTCCTGAAGAGCAGGCAGTGCTCTTAACCGCTGAGCCATCTCTCCAGCCCAAGACAGCTTTTGCACAATCAACCTCCTTACCTTATATTTTACTGAAGGAGCTGGTGTACCAAGGAGCACGCTGGAGATAGATCTGATCAATTAGGTAAAAGTAAAAGCCCCTGTTGAGACCTTTTAAATTTTTCTTTCTTATTTTTGTGTGCTCTAAATATGCTCTGTTGGTACAGTTTTAGCTCTGTCAAGAGGATACACATATACTAATGGAACTACGGATGACATTGACTTTCTAATGAATTCCCAGGTTTTAAATCCATTTACTTGAAATACTTATTCATAGGCCTGAAATCAACCAGAAGCAACCATCAGTTTCTAGTATTCTAATATATAGTAAGGACACTTGTATTTATTTAAATACCACGTGTGACTCCTTAGCCTCATTCCATCCATTTTGTTACTGCTTGTGGCCACTTGCCCACCAAGTATCTACGTAGCTTGGCAGACTGGATGCGTGAAGTCTGCATGTTTACTGTGTGGTATGTGGGACTTGGCAAAGGGAAGGAGTTTCCCCTTTCCCTGCTGTCCTTTCTGCCTTACGTTTTGCACAGAAAGCAGTCTGGCTAACTCCTTGCGATCTAGAGTAGCTGTGAAAATGAAAAGTACGTATAGATTAATGTAGACCAAATAGAGGGGCTGGAGTCAGCTGTGTGCAGTGGCACGTTCACATGTGTAGTCCCAGTTATTGGATAGGGCAGGAGGACCCCACAAGTTTGAGGCTCATGTGGGCAGCAGTGAGATCCTGAAAACAAGCCTCTTAATATCATCAGTGGTGGACCTGATGAACTTGTCTGGACTATCTCACTCTGGATGGGAAGAGAGAGAATGCATGAGAGGAATCACCATTTGATTAAATTACTGTGGCCAGATCCCTGATAGTGGTCCCTAGCTTCCATACTCAGTTTTATCAAAGGTAGTCACTTCCTCTATCCCCTTTTTGAGATCATTTTTAGTTATCAGGATCGAACATCCTCCTATTTTTATGTGCTGTTGGATCTCGCAGAAGTTTGTCTTTTAATTCCATCTCTGAGCATCTCCTGCCCCTGGCTCTTCTCATGATATCCATGGCCGGCCAATCACTTACAGGCCTTTCCCCCAGCATTCACTTAACCTACTGGATAAAAACCTAGCCTTGTCTCCAGTCCTGGAGTTATGAGGCCAGTCCTGTGTGAGAAAGTACTCTATGAAGTAGGAAGAACGGGAGCCACTTCTGTTGGTGATTTCTACTCCCAGCCGCTCCTAATTTGTCCACACGGGTGTAGCTCAAGGTCCTCAATAAGGAGGACATCCTTCTTCAACTCTGTCTCTCTCGGCTTGTGTTTGGGCATCTGGAAAGCACAGGCCTTGGAGTATTTCCAGCTGCCCCTGCACACTCCACGTGCTCAGTCAACTGATTGTTGACTCACGCTACTTTAAATGTAGCTCATACGGTACTACCATCCCTCCATGAATGATGTCTTCCTCCTTCTAAAGATAACTGTTCTAAAACTCCTGGTCTTTTGATATGGACTCACAGGTATGATCTGTGGAGTCAAAAAGTTGGGTTGATATTCTAACTGCAACTTGCGGGCGGTTGAATAACCTTGGGCAAATACAGTTTCTCTGAGCCTCTTGCTGCTTGTGAGATGTGCGTACTGTATCTTGTATTCAACTGTGACGACAAGCCTGTGAGTTTTGTTTCAAGTAAGAAAGTATTGCTGTTCTCAACTGCTCCTGCTCCAGTAGTTATCCCTGTATGTCAACTTCTCAGTCACCTCTGAAAGTACCATTGTCTTTTCTCCTGTGTTGTCTGTATTCTGTGCCCCACAGTGCTGACTCAGCTTCCGCAAGACCACAGTGTGTTTCCCAAAGACCACAAAAAAAAAAAAAAAAAAAAAAAAAAAAAAAGGCTCTTGGTTGCACTGAGAACTCAGGCTCTAATGATAGATCTAGTCTGAGCAGTGAATGAACTGGATGTAATCCTTCCTCATCTGGCAAGAGAAAAAAAATCAAAACACTTGCAATCACAGGGCATAGCTTGCAGAAGGGAGCATTGGCTGTGGTGGGAGCATGGTGGCTGCAGAGTCCTGAGGGAAGGGCTGTGGAGAACAGAAGGACTGGACTGATAGAAGAGGTATCCAAAGGAGAGGTGCCTGGACCAGTGGAAGGGAAGCAGTGGCGGGGTTAACAGAAGGACCAGACTGAGCAAAAGGATGAGCAGTTGAGTAAAAAAGATGCAATTTAGATCAGATTCACAATGGACTGACTGTATGTGTGTTATAGAAACAGGAAGTCGTTTACCTGAGGCTTTGGTAAAGCTTGCTTCTCAAGAAATGATTTTTTGAAGTCATCGACTTCTCCAAGTGCATTATGTATCTACAGCAACACTAAGCTTATTTAACGAGTCTGTCCTCTGGCTACTGATATCCAGTGTTTACTCCGGTGAAGTTTGAATCCTGGGCATATATAGGTATGAAAAATAAGAATAAATGTAAAGTTTGCCTTCAGACAGCAGAGGGCAGTCTTGCCCTCTTTAATCCCGATAGAGGCAGGCACAAAACCAGGTTGGAGCAATCGGTTTACAATTACCTTAAGGTTAGCTTGAACTAACTTGAACTACATTGTCCTCTCGCTGGAGAGGAGTAATGGACTCCGGCAGCATCGGCGAATCATATGTATAACTGGAAACAGGGCTTTCCCTGGTCGTTTTCAGCAGCCTCTAGTGGAATCCCAATAGTGGAATAGCTAATATTGGAAAGTACGTAAGTGTCAACTAAGAGACCAGTCAGGGCATTGGGGCTGTCCCTGTCACCTCTGATGCAGACAGGATGAAGGAGAGTGAAGTGTCAGGAGCCCAGAGAGACAGTAGAGTGATGTCTGGTTTGTGAGCAGAGAAGCAAATGCTTCTGCAGAATATACAAACCCCTGTGCTCAGTCCACAGGAGCAAAGCTATAAGAAAATATGGAGCTGCAACAGTTAACAGTGAAGCCTGTCAAGAGAAAGGATCCCAAGGAGAGGAATGCTTTATCATTCAACTTGTAAACAGTCCAGCAAAGGCATATTCGCGGAGGTCTGTGGAATGCTAATAGTGTGCTATCAGGATCCTGTTCATCAGATCACTTGCAGTGTAGGTTGCTGCAAAAATGTAGGACCCTACACATTGAGATGATGACAAGCTCAGAGGTCTCCATTCTCCACTGGAATAAAAAGCCTAGCAATTCTTCTACCCTCCTCGAATCTTCTGGGGGCTGGATTGGGTTGAAACCAGGGTATCTTGCATACTACATATACACCAGTGAGCTACTTCCCAGTCCTCTTTTTATTTTTTTCCTTTGAGATAGAATCCCATTAATTTGCAGAGGCTTCCCTTGAACTTAGTCTATATCCCACACAGGTCTTGAACTTGTGATCTGCCTCAGCCTCCCTCCCGAGTAGCTGGGGAGTGCCTGTTTATGTGTCCAACTGAACTTTGAAAACCATTGTTTTCGGGGTCCCTATAAACTGTACATGATTGACTAAAGTTGAACTCTGGATCACTACAGGTACTGCTGTTCTAATAGGCTAGCAGGAGGGCAGAACTCTTGGTTGATGTAGACAGGTCTGGGTTTTTTAAAATAGCTGCATGAGATTCTGTTCCATGGCTTTATCACAGTTTAATTCAGAAACTATTAGGAACTTCAAGTTGTCACTGTTTTGTGTGCTTGTTTTGTTTTTGCAATTTTGTTTTCGTTCCTATACAAACTATGCTTCAAAAACATCTTCTACATGCATTGCTGTGTAACTCTCCTCACTTACAAAGAACAGTTTCTCAGAAGTGGGATTCAAGTTCAGAAAGTCTTCATGTCTTTTTAGTTTTGTAAGCACTGTCTTAGATGGTGTGGTGGTTTGAACAAGAATGGTCCCCATAGGCCCATATATTTGAATGCTTAGTCATCAGGAGTGCCACTATTTGAGAAGGATTAGGAGGTGTGGCCTTGTTGGAGGAAGTGTGTCACTGGGGGTTGGCTTTGAGGTTTCAGAAGCCCACACTAAGCCTGGTGTTGCTCTCTCTGCCTGCAAATCAGGATGTAGCTCTCAGCTACTGTTCCAGCACTTCCCTTTGCTCCCACCATGGCCCCATCACGATGATAATGGACTAACTCTTTAACACTGTAAGCAAGCCCACAATTAAATTCTTTCTAAGAGTTTCCTTTGTCAGGATGTCTCTTCATAGCAATAGAGCAGTAACTAAGAGAGATGGTCTGATAAATCCCTGTCAGAGTGGCCTTTGTTCCTCATGCTCACAAATGCTAGTCATGGATCATTTCCCAAACAAAAACTACTTTCCCAATCAAGAGTAAAAGGTATCAAAGAACAATTAAATTATTTTGATTTTTTTCTAATACTGTGACATGAAACAAACCTGTTGGGTGACAGAAATGTATATATTGCTCCTGTCATAGGAC